CTCGCCTATTTTTTATTGACTTCCATAGAGTCCTCTGTTCTCCTATTCTTTCCAATACCTCTTCATTTCTAACCTTTTCTAACCACGATATCCTCATCATCCGCCTATAACACCACATTTCGAACGCTTCTAACCTTTTCCTTTCCGCCGCGCCCGCTGTCCATGTTTCGCACCCGTACAATGCCGTGCTCCAAACAGACACCAACAGATAAAATTAATAAATTTTTACTACTTGTTTTATTATTCCGATATATTGATTTTCAAAAAGATGAGAAAGTTCCGATAAGCTTCAGTTATAAAAATGCGAAACCAGATTCAGAAGCGAATGTGAAAATGTCTGCGGAACTTCTGTAATTGCGAAAGCGGAAGCAGAGGTCTGTTGCAACACTAATCTTAAGCCAGTTGATCACGACAAGACAATAAAAAATACATGACTTTGTATTAAAAAAAACATAATTAATGGTCTGTCGTGTTTTCTGTTTAATAAAACAAAAGTACCTACTGCGGTCATAATCTTTGTCTCAAAAGTTGCGTGGTGGTGAGAGAGATACCTAGCTATTCTTGATAATGCCTACCGCAGTTGCAAGCGAAACGACACAAATTTATTATACAGGGTGTTCTACCTAAGGCGGCTTCGTCAATAACTCTGTTATACATTTAATTAAAAAAAATTTTTTTATAACAGGAATCTGGAATCATATGGCGCATATACAGAAAATACTTTCAGTCTTCGTTATTTAACTCGAACGTCCTCTATATTTTTACATTTTTTGTTTCCTTGTTTAATTTAAGGTCGACTTTGTTAACACTTCCTTGTAACTATCTGCAATAGTTCTTGAAATATTAAAAAAAAAAACAATTCTTCATCTTTTTGAATGAGACCAAATAGCATCTAAATCATAAAAGCTAAAAACCATACGGTTTGGACAGTTCGTTTTATGACGAATTGCCGTACCTTTTTTGCTATGGGTATAATGAGTACGTTACAAGACGAATAACTCATTTTCAAAAGGAGTGATCCATATTAAGTTCGTTCGTTAAAAGCCCTTTCTATTAATATAAGGCTTTAAATATAACTAAAGAGTTACTACGTCTTCGTCACTTTTTACGTTTTGAAATCGANTTATTAATAACTAAAAATAAAACTTAAGACGTATATTTATATTTATCTATCATTACAAATAGTAACAAAACACCATCACTAAACTTAGATTCTAAAAATCACACGCCATAACACATATTAAAACTCCGTTTTATGTAAATTAGAAAACTTATATATTATTTATGTAATAATCAAATTTATTTTCCAACTTGATCGTGATCTTATCGTTAGTTTACTTTGTTTCAGGGACATGGATGGCCTCGGCATCACGTTGGCAATCAACGCGTTGAAAGCAATTGCCTTCGTATGCGACATCCTTACATTTCCCTTCTACCTCCTTCTGCAACGGCCATGGAAAACTCGAGCTCTCTCGAGAAAAATCAAGGTCAGTATAATACAAACCATTCTCTTGCATTTTATTTGCAGTTGGAACTCATTTTTTTTCTATTAATTATATGTACCTATAGCGTATGTTTAATCTATTTATCTATTGCTTGTTCTTTTTCTATACATTCGCTTAATTGCAGCAGATGTTACAATTGTTTCGCAAGCATTTTTTTTTGTTTGTTGTGTTTTATTGATTGTCTATGTGCGTGCACCTTTTTTCATACAATACATTTTTGTACGTAATTTTCACATTGAAAAACTAATATGATATTCTAAAACATTGTCGTGAAATTGTGTAAAACTGTTTTCTAAGGAAGTATAAAAATTTTAATTAAATTTAATTAATCTAAAACTTCGCATTTCTGAATTGTTTTCGGAAACAAGTTTTTCTACATACTACCATCTCTCAAAATATTTACCTGACACACCCTGTATATACTAGTAACAACTGAAACAATTACGATTACCTTTCGTCATTATAAAAAGAAAGAAACAAATGAAATCATAATTGTTCGCATAATATTCATGATCATGCTACACAAACATGTTAAGTGTTAGTTTAGATAAGGGTTAATTCGTGTAATAGCCAATTATTGGGCCTCGTATATATTGCATATTCACCCCTTGATGCTTAATACATGGTTGAGGAAAGGTTGCCCTGATACAATTTCAAATTAGAAAAATCTTCCCAACTATATCGCTACATTTTAAGATCCAAAAATAGGTGTATAATACGTATTAAAATTAACCGGTTATTTCGTTAATCGAATCATTTCTGATACCTATTAGCCATAAGATAGCAATACTTGCTAAAAACGTATATTACTTTTATTAAGGTAGCATAGCTTTTATTTAATTTTCTTAATTCTCACAATGGGCTTTTATGTCTAGCATTTCCTACTATTTTATGTGCTAAAAAGAAAAAGACAAAATATTAAAATAAAAATAACACAATAATTACAAGATTGACCTATTGTACAATATAAAGCATACAAAGTTAGTAATAGTAATAAAATTAACTACTTAAAAGCTGATATTGTTATTGAGTATTTTTAAATGTGTAAAATAAAAATCTCTTAGGTAATGATANTTCTCAAAATCATTTTTCCAAAAAGGAAATGTTAGAAAAACTAGGAAGGAGGAGCTGATCGTTGATAGATGAAAGTAGGGTACCAATAGAGTTGAACGATATAAGAGTAGGGTAGTAGTAGTGGTACCGAGGGTTGAAAGTACCGAAATAATGAAATGCTAGGAATTAGAATATAGTCCCAAATCACCGAAGAAACCCATCATAAAATTGCCATTAAGAAAAGATAAATGCTATAGACGTCATGCGGTTAGTATGCGAAGTTGAAATGTTAATAGGGATTATAGGAAAGTACAAGCAATAAAGTTATTTAGATATAGAAATAGAATACAAAAGAATTAAGACCCAAAAGAATTCGAATACCATAAATCAAATAGATATTTACAAGTTGGAGAATAACAATAACATTTTCATTGGAAGTATATACAAAAGATTCAGATATTAAGCAATTGTCGAAAGTATGATTAAAATCCCGTTTTATTTGTATGTTGCGATAACCGCCACAAGGTATTTTAGTTGAAATTACAAATTAAATTGTAATAATTAAAAAGCTTGACATAAGTTCTAAAAAAACATGTCAAAATTAATATTATTAAAAGTTACCCAATAAATTGTAATTTTTGCGTTGTAATAAAAATTCAGTCTTCTCCGTGTATAGGGAGGTCCGGGCAATACCGGGCATTAGTACGTTGTAAAGTTATTATGTGTTGTTTCCTATGAAAATGACGTGAGGTGATAAAAACTGACACGTAACTCATTCGTCATTCTGTAATGAGAATAGCGCAGTTTAATTATCTAAACTGTTAACCCACTTTATCATTCAATTATAAACACTAACTTATAGACACAGATGTGCATGTTTGTAACTAACATCTAACAAGTATATGATATTTTCACAATTTTGATTGTATTGTTTAATGAAATCAGAAATTTTGGTGGTTTTATTATATGTAACTTATAACATGGAATCAATGGGTAGGTAGTACCTACCTACATACCTACATGTTGCCCTACTACATGTCCACATAAATAAAATATAATTGAGTGCTGTGGAACAGAAATTACGTGAACACTTAAAACCTCAAAATTCCACAAAATGTTTTTTAACAAATTAAAACGCGTTTCAACACCAAAGGTGTCATCCCCGGTTAGAGTGACTAGTTTTATAGATGCATAAATGCTGGGGTGTGTCAAGTAGGGTTGCCACCTTTTCAGGCTTTACATTAAAGTATTTCTCGACTAAAAGGTTTAAAAAACAAAGTACTCAGCATAAAAATAAAGTATTTTATTTTTTGTTTTTAAAAACATATTTTTTGTTACACCTAGCAGCCAGTAACAAATTGCTGTCGCTCTTAAATATATTAATAGCCTCTAAACATGGCAAACAAAGGTTTAAGTAAACTAAAAGTTCATTTTTGATTGGTTTTAATGAAACTTTATTCCTGTCGTCCCGCCACTTTTCGTTCATAACAGAGAATACTCTTTCTGTAAATGCCGAAGTGGCCGGAACGGGCAGCAAAAGTGAAACTGCTTTGAACAGATTTGGGAAATCAGGTTCTTCCGTAAATATGGCTTGCCATTTTTCTGTGCAATATTATTGATATAAAAATACCTTAAATTTCGAATAATCGCTTACAAAATTACGATGTTTACTTAAGGCTTTAAATAAAGTATTTTTGCGTACTTTATGTGTCTTGTAAAGTATAACGTACGCACAGTCGAAATAGAGTACAATACTTTATAATAAAGTACGGGTGGCAACCCTACTCGTGATCGTGACTCTTAGGGAGCGATGCAACGGAAGCAGAAGCGAAAACAGAATTAAATAGTAAATTTTTGCGGAACCAGATACAGAAGCAGAAGTGTAATGATTTTAAGTAACTCTTTAATGCAAATTTTGCATTTAGCGCTTGCATCGTTAATATCAACAAAATAACTCCAAATGGAACTTTTTTTTGGTTTCAAAATTGCACTTTTAACTTAAAATTCACACCACTCAGTAAACACTGTACAAAATAAATAAACGCTATAACTGTATTCGTATTTGAGAAATGAAATTCTTAGGAGAACTGGCTAAAGGGGAGCTGAAAGTCCTGGGCGTTTTTAGATTCAATTAGGAAACTAATAAGATAGTAAAATTTGGAAAATAACATACGAAATACTAGGGAATAGATTTAGACCCTCAACTATAATAAACTTATTTGCACAGGGACAATATTATTATTAACAAAATTTTGCCGGCTATAACGCAGCATTGACACTAATACTTCATAAACATAAACGATTGATAATAATATATTCGCAATTGTACGAATTAGTTGCTGAAAGCTGGTGCAGATACCTGCATAACATGCAGCTTTGCAACGAGCAATTCCATTTAAATTGTGTTTTGAAAACGGCCAAGTTCAGCCAACAGATATCATCATCATAAGGTCGTCAGACCTAAGCCTGGTTGGACACGTACCTCCACTCTTTCCTATCCTGAGCTAAACTTCGCATTTCCCTAAAACTAGAACAGCCCACATCCTTAACTATTTGCGAACAGTAAT